CCTGGTACCGGGATCACCAACTTTACTACCAATGACCCGATCCAAGAGACAATCCAACTCGGCCCAGTCCACCGGTTCGAGGGAGGGCCCAAAGGGCTTCTGAACAGGAAGACGGGGTGGTAAGATCAGAACAGGCACGAGCTCCTTGTCTGACACCATGCTGTGCAAACAAACGAGACGATGGGGAGAATGAGGAACATGAACTGTAACTGTGAAGATCCCATCAATCATATCTGCCAACGACGTGGACATCACAAAATAATCAATGACCGAGGTGGAATTCTTCGTGGCGTAGGTGCGGACGTCGGGGGCATTCAAGTGCATGCTAGCACGCTCCAAATAGTCTAGCCGAAGAATTCTCATGGGCTTTACATTGAAATCCCCTCCACAAAAAACAGGTAACTGATACTTCTCTTGAAGATCTGCAATCCATGCTAGTATCGACAAGTTGAGCTCGTTTAGCCCTACTCTGGTTCCAAGATACACCGAGCTTAAGAGGAACTTCCCCAAAGACGGAATCTCACGGATCATGTTGAGTAAACGGTGTTCAAAACTACTATTGTTCGGAATTGCCGTAACCCCAAAATTTACACCCCGGCAAATCAAGATGGCAACTCCTCTTGAATATTTGCCATTGGGTAGCCTAGATGCTGTACTGAACATACCGTGCCAACCACAAGCATCACAAAGACGAGTTGCTTTCTCAATATCTGCTGAAGATCCGATCAGGGGTTCCTGCAATAGAAGGATCTGTGATTCTGCAAACTGCTGATGCTCAAGATTATCCTTGAAGGACCTCCAAGAGTTCACATTGAGCGTGTGGATCACGAGGTTCCACGCTTCCTGAGGCCGATCCTGTGTTACTTCTTGGGAGACGGAGGTTTGGGGGACCGATTGGTCCCTTGGGAGAGGGTTAAAGCAATTGCCCACCAGTCCCTGGGGAAAGGGAGACAGCGGGATGGGCGCCAGGCTCAAGGGGAAAACCGCCGAGAGGGGTTTGGGTACCATCTGCCCCCTGCTGCTCTTGCGGCGCCCCTGCCCTTTTCCCGGGATGGGAGATGTCTTTCTTTCCTTCATTCTTTCCTTTTGAAATTGACAGTCGTTGCTTTATCACTCCAGGAACTACTGCAGGATATGGTTGAGAAAAAGATGCCAACAGCTCTGGACCCAAGACTTTGAGTATCTTGTTGGACCGCTCAGCGACCGAGTCAGCGAAGCTCTCCGTTGCCATACCCACGTCAGGTGTTGTAGCCCCGCTATTTAATACAATCGGCGCCTCTGCTTCCTCCTCCTGCTGGTTGAATGGGTCGGCCGCCTCCGCTGAATCCATAGTCGACTGTTCCGGAATAGCTGCTAGAACTGCCGCTGGTAAGGGAATTGAAGGCGAGGCTCCTGATCCTTCTTCTCCTGGCTGCTGCTGTGGAGGTTGTTGCTGCTGCAACTGCTGCTGCACCTGGCGTTGCATCTCTTCATCCTGCGTCTGCATGATGATCGAATGTTGGATAAGTCCCGATAGCTGGTCCAAAGCACTCTCCACATTATTCATCTGGTACTGGATCGACGGGAACATGGAGGTAAGGTGAGTGCGGAAGCGGTGCAACTGGTAGTTGACGTTGTCGCTGGGAGTAAGACCTTGGGCCTGGAAAGACTGGGCAGCTACCTTAATCTCGAGCTCTTTCTTCCTAGTTTCCAGTTTCACGAGCTCCTCATTTTGAGTAACAATGTTGTTACCTAGCTCCTGATGCCTCTTGTCTAGATCTGAAATTGTGCTCGCTAATTCCTGATACTCCTGGTACATCTTGCCGAGCTTTGTCGTCAGGGAGGCGACCTGATCGGACAGGGACCTGACCTGGTGATCCGTGGGCTTCGCTGCAAAGGCTGAGTCCTTAGCGACACGGAGTTTCTCCAGGGCGTCCTTAGTGTTGGGGTGATTTTCCCCATGCCAGGTCTTGATGTGATCGTAATCCTTTTGGGCCAAGAGAATCGGGCCTTTCTTGATGGCATCCGGATCTGGAGCTCCCAATTGGCCCGCAGGGGGAGCTTGGGACCGTGAGGGAGGGGGGGGCGGTGGGGGCGGTGGCACGTAGAGCGGCCAATATTGCTGTTGCCACGGCTGGTACGTGAATTGGTTCGGAGCATACTGCTTCGGATGCTGCTGGGAGTAATTACCCCGACTTTCCCTAATCTGCTGCCAGCCCCTTGCCCCTGCCCTTGCCCTTTCCCTTTTTGCCCGTCCCCTGGGCGGAGCCGTTGATGAGCGACTCGTACTGGAACTGGTTCTGGAAGTAGCCTGGGTGATACTCCCAAGGAATACGACGAGGAAGATAGACATCGAGAGGTCCTCCACAAAGGTCACTCTCCTTAGCTCCACGACTGCGCCAGACCCAGCCCGGGCAGCCTGGTTGCAGGCAGCGGGCACGACGCGAGTCTGGCAAGCCTTGCGCCATGTTGCCTACCTGAGAGGTGATTGAGCCGCACCTGTGGCGGCGCGGCCGAGAACGAAAGTTGCGCCGACCAGGAGCTCACTGAAAGCTTGACTGAGGCAGCCAGGCCTGAGGAAGGGCTGCCCTTCCATTTCAGACTCGAGCCTCTGGAGTCGGGACGGGAGGTAAGCTCCGTCTTGAGCCAAAATGGCTACGGGCTTCTTCTTCAGGCAAAGGAGGAGGAGGAGGAAGAGGAGGAGGAGGTGGAGGAGGCGGAGGAGGAGAAGGAGGAGGAAAAAGAGGAAAAGAAGGAGGAGGAGCAGGAACATGAGGAGGAGAAGAAGGAGGAGGAGGAGGAGGAGGAGCAGGAGGAGGAGCAGGAGGATTTGCAGGAGGAGGCGGAGGAGGAGGAGGAGGACGAGGACAAGGAACAAAAGCAGGAGGAGGAGGAGGAGGACGACGAGGACGGAGAGAGCGCGTTCACGGTCGCTTGCTTTGGGAACATTCGGCGGCGCGTTTCGAACCGGGTGGTGGGCCCCTCCCCCCAACACTCGGCGCCGTCGATCAGAACCAGAGGGACCGCCCTCCCCCCCAACACCCCCTTTTCCCGAACCCCCCCATCTTCCCAAGGGTGGGGATGGGGTTGAACCCCCCCCCCTCGGCGCCAGCGCCGGCGCTGGCGACCGCAAGCAGCGCCGACAGCAGGGACGCAGCGACGATGACCAGAGACAGCCCAACGGGAGGGGGGGTCCAAACCCCCTCCCCCCGTGCCGGCGCCGGCGCCGGCGGCGGCCAGCATCGCCGACGGCGGGGACGCTGCGACGATTACCACCACTACCACCACCACCACCATTCCCACCACCACCACCGCAACCCACCACCACCACCACCAACCCATCGCACAACCACCACCACCACCACCACCACGGCCACCATCACCACCACCACAACCACGACCACAAAAACCAACCACCACCACCAGCACAATCGACCACACCACCACCACCACCGCCACAACCACCACCACTACCGGCAGCACAACCCACTACCACCATCACCAAGAACACCACCACCACCAACACCACCACCAGCACAGACCACCATATCACCACCACCGCCATCACCAACACCACCACCAGCACCACCTCCACAAACCACCGCCACCACAACCCACCACCACAACCACCACAACCACCACCACCACAAACCACCACCAAACCACCACAAAACAACTACCACCTCCACAACCCATTGCCACCACCACCACCACCACAAACCACCACACCACCACCAACCCACCAACACCACCGCCACTTCCAACCACCACCACAACCACCACCACAACCACCACCACAACAAACCACCACACCACCACAACCACCACCGCCACCACCACAACCCACCACCACCACCACCAACACCACAACCCACCGCACCACCACCACCACCACCCACCACCACCCACCACCGCAACCACCACCACCACCACCACCACCACCGCAACAAACCACCACCACCACCACAACCACCACCTCCGCCACTACCACCACAACCCACCACCGCAACCACATGCACTACCGCCACCACAACCACCTCGACAAACCACCACACCACCACCGCCACCGCCACCACCACCTTAACCCACCACCGCCACAACTACCACCACCACCACCACCACAAACCAGAACACCACCACCACCGCCACCATCAACACCACCACCACCACCTGCCTGCCACAACAACCACCACAACAACCACCACCACCACCAACCACACCACCACCACCACCACCGCCACAACCACCACCAACACCACCACCACCATCACCACCACCACCACCAACCCAGAGGCCCTAACAGACGCCCAAGAGGCGTCCAGGAGGCTGCACACATGAACTCCAAAGGTTCCCGAAAGCGCTTCGACGAGACCCCGATAGGCATCCGATAGGACTCTGACCCAAAACCATCGCAGGATGGCGGGGCTTCGTCGTCATCGTCGTCGCCCTCGCTGCCACTGCCCGCCGCCGCAGGCGCCGCCGCCGGCCCCGAAAACGAAATCGTCGTCCCCGCCGCCGCCGTCAGCCGCCGCCGACGCAGGCGCCGGCCCGAGGAGAGGGAGGGAGGAGGGGGAGGGGAATGGAGGGGGGAGGGGGGGGTCCGGTTCCCCCCCCCGCCCCTCCAATCGCCACAAAACGCGTTCTTTCTGAGGACGAGTGCGAGGACGAGGACGAGGACGACGAGGAGGAGGAGGAGGAGGAGGAGGAGGAGGAGCAGGAGCAGGAGCAGGAGGCGGAGGAGGAGGCGGCGGAGGAGGAGGAGGAGGAGGCGGAAGGGAGGAGGGGGATCAAGGAGGAGGGGGGGGGCTCCGCGGCAGCCTTTCCCTTGCCTGTTGGCGGCAGCCCTGACTGGTTACCGCGACCTCGGATGATGCGGGATCTGGCGGGATCCAGATACTCTGACACCCTCAGAGTTTTCAGCGCGCGGCTTCAAAGATACATGTTTTTCGCCGCGGATCAACGCTTGATGGCGACAGCGGGCCTCGGAGGCCCAAGTCGTCTGGAAGCATGGCCTGCCCGAGGCTGGTTCGCCTCTGCCATGGGCGACCTCCGGCGCCATTCGCAGTGGCACATCAAGTGCTTCGTGGGCGCGGCAGCAGACTCGTCCCACAGGCCGCGGTTCGACGCGCTGCTCGTCGCCGCCGCTCGCCATCGTCGTTGTCCTCCATTCCTCTCCCGTGTTCCTCCTCCTCCTCCTGCTCCTGCTCCTCCTCCTCCTCCTCTTCCTCCTCCTCCTCCTCCTCCTCCTCCTCCTCCTCTTCTTCCCCCTCCGTAACCACTTTGGCTCAAGATGATGTTATCTTCGGGGTAGAGGACACCTCTGACCCGAGGCCAGATTTCCGCTGTTTGTACATTTGCCTGATCACCACAGGCATTATTTTAGCCCTGTTTCATTGCTTGCCGCATCCATGGGGAAAAGGGCGGACGTCAGCAGTGCAAAGCTCTCTGGCAGTGGCGTGCCCCATGGCGATCGGCGAGCCCCACCTCGAGCTTGGCCACGCCACCGTGTTCCTCCCTCGCCCTGGGCGCTGATTGGCCCGTCCTGGGCCGAGTCAGCACGAAGACGTACGGCGGCTACGACGCGTCCCAACCCTGGAAGCCAGCTGCTGGACGAACTGGTGGGCAGGTAGGGGTCCTAGCGGATTCGTATGGTTAGGTTCGGTTTGTCGGCGATTTTCGTTGCATGCCCGGGTGCCTGGGTGCCCGGGGGTGCCCGGGGCCCGGGTGCCCGGGGGGTGCCCAGGGGTGTTCGGGCGCCCGGGTGCCTGGGTGCCCAGGCGTGCCCGGGGTGCCCTAGAACGCTCGTGGGTTTGACCTTCCGCCTCTGCGAAGCTAACGATTTAGACCAGTTTGGGGAAATCCACCGGCCATCTAAACCACCATGTGTTCCAAGAGATACAACAGCAATTGTTTGACCAGTTCCTGATTTCCCTTGCAAGTTCTATCCTTGGGAGGACATGTCAGTTATAACCCATGGCCGTCCTCAGGCCCAGCATCGCCGCGTGCCGCCTCGCCAAATGCTTTACCATCGATGGCGTCAGCTCGGCGCCGTTGCTGGCCACGCGTGGGATCGCGGCAGGAGCTGCGCACGCCGCCATTGAGCTCCGGCCACTCCTCATCGAGTGGCTGGGCGAGGCAGTCTCGCTGCACAGGCACATTGTGATCACCGTGCACGTTGACGACGCGCCCTTCGAGGCATCTGGATCGGAACGGATGGTTTGGGACACCGCGGTCGGCGTGGTGAGGCACTTCACCGAGAGCCTCGTGGAGGTCGGCAGGGAGTTTGGCCCCGCGAAGAACAGGGCCCTCGCCTCTCGCTGGGAGTGGCCTTCGGTCCTGGGCGCAGTCGCTGCGCGTGCCCCTGGTCACCAGCTGGTCGCCCAACGGCTTTTCGAATTGGCACTCGTCGTCCAGCGCGTCCTTTTGCTGCTCGGCATTCGTCTTGGTGGCCCCCGCGCTGCCAGCGCCTGGCGGGCCGTCCGCTAGGTTCATGTCCGTGGTGGCCCGCCTCAGGGTCAGCATCGCGCCCGTCGCGACAGTGATCGCGCCGATCTTTTTCAGCTGAGTCATCGAGGGCCGAGGCGAGCTTCTAATTTTCTCACCGCCCCGACTATCTCCACGGAGTCGCACAGCATGAGGAAGCGACTGAGCCAGCAATTTGACGATCGGCACACATGCTCAGCCGCGGACGAACCCGCCCTCAGCTCTTTCACCATTGCGCGCTCCTTGTACAGACAAACTCTTTCTCAGGATAGATGCCATCTCGATATCTCTGCCCAGTGGTCCAGAACTGCTTTGGGTCTCTCCGGGGGACTCCGAACTTCGCGAACTCGCCAGTCGTGAGTGATGAGCTCGTTGGCGCCCATCGCCTGTCGCACCGGTTTCACATATGCACTGCGCAATTGCGGCGGATGAAAGGATGCAAGGTGGGTCCAAAGTTTCATTTCCGAATTCCGTCCCCGAAGCTCTTGGCGCTGGTGGTCCCCCGAGCATCGGCAGGCCAGCTCCTTCAACGCCTCCGCTTTCATCAGCAAGCGAGCCGGCTTCATCCACTTGGCTTCGGAAGCGCGGCGCACGATCTCCACCGCGGAGACGCCCGACCGCTCCATCAAGTCGACCATCTCGGAGAGCTCCCGGATCTTGGAGGCCCTGGGATTCTCGAGGGAAGATCCGACACCAGCTGCCGCACACTCGTAGCACATCGATATCGCCGTCTGTGCTAGTGCGCTTCCCTCTCGCACTCGTCGTACCTGCGGCGAGGAGGGGCTGGGGCGGCCTCGGGCCCCGCGGCCAGGGGCTCGAATTGCATGCTTGCGAGCTCGCGAAAAAGATGGGCAGGGAGGGGCCAAGTGCACCAAGACCTCTTCGACGAAGGACGGGCCCGTGAGGTCGCGGCGCGGGTCGATGTCCAGCAGCAGTTTTTGATCGTTTGAAGCAAGATTTGTTGTCCTCTGGGGCCCATCGGACACCAAATTCTGCCATGTTCCAAACAAGTGTTGTTCATCTGACAGCACTGTTGTCCAATTGGGCAAGGCTTGCTGTCAAAATGGCAAGAACTGCTGTCAGCAGGGTTGGACAGCAATTCCCGTTCAATATGAACAAACACTGTAGGCATCGTACTCACATGTTCCGTCTCCATTCTTGGCGTGCACAGGCAGGATGGTGGAAACTAGACTCGAAGAGGACGAGGACATGAGCATGGCGTGACCCACGGCTGCACTTTTCTCGAGCGCGCCAAGGTCCTGGAGTATCGAAGTCCTTGTTCTGGGGGCCGCGGGGTCTCGGGCCCCGGGGCCCTGACAGGTCGATCCGGCTCGAAGGATGCCAATGCCGCAGAGCCCCCAGAGGCTTCTGGGAGCACCAGGGGGTCTCTGGAGGCCTCTGGGGACTCGGAGATTTCCGGAGGCCTCCTCCAGCAAAGGAAAGACAGGCAGGCATCATGCCGAATGGCGACCCCTAGCGGGCGCGGTCGAAAGACGCAGGAAACCCGAGAGAGAGGGCCCTCCCCCTCCCGTTCATCCTCATCCTCCTCCTCACTCTGCTCCTCGCCCTACTCCTCCCCCTGTGGCTGTCGCATGCTGTGCTCATCGCTCCATGCCAAAACGTGTTTTTTGATTGCTCCGCTGCCCCTGTTTCTGGCACGCCTGACCTCCTAGACACCCCCCCAAGCAGGGGATCTCGGAGAGACAGGCTCTGGAATGAATGCGGCGATGGATACCCATCGATCGTTGAAAGCAAGTATTCACGACCTCCATATTCCAAGGTATGTTAGGCGCCTTCCCACTTCGGTCACCGATAGGTTCTCCCTCTTCCTTTATCTCCAGGGGGCGGGCAGAAGTCCAGTCTACTTCCGACGCATTCCTACTTCATGTTTTTGCTCACTTATTCCGTGAAAGAGTGTCTTATTCTTGCTTATGTTTTTGGCTCGTCCCTCGTCTCCTCAGGCTGTGCTTCCCTCCCCGAGGCGCATGCAGGACGGCCGCGTCGTATTGCTGCCCATGCACACCGACCCCTCGATTATCAGCCTGGTCGTGCACGACCGCGAGGGGATGCACCCTGGAGCGATGGGCCTCGAGGTTCGAGGAAGAAAAGTTGCATACAGCTGTCGAAGCTCCATGCGTTGATTTCTCGAATCGGCGCTGGCCCCCCCAGCGCCGCCTCCAGCGCCGATTCAAGAAATCAACGCATGCCGTTCTATGCTCCTCCTCGAGGTGTGGAGGTCAGAGGATCGGGCCTGGCTCGAGGCCCCCTGGTGCGGCCACGGCGTGGCCACGCTCTTCGTGGGGTCGGTGCTCGAGCGCATATCGGGAGGCTCCCTGCGGGCAGCGCGCCACCGCGTCGTGTCTGCGAGCGGCGACGCCGCTGGCGCTTCCCCGCGCGTCGCCGCCACCTTTTTCTTCCGGCCGGCCCCGGAGGCGGTCTTGTGCCTCATCTCGGAGGTCGCTAGGAGTGATCCTGACCCGAAACCATTGTTTTTATTATTCGATTTTGTCATGTTCGTTACGGGAGGTCGCCCCCCCTTCTCCCCTCTTCCTCCCCGAAACGGTACCGAGCCTTCGAGTGGGTGTGTGGTGTGTGTGTGTGTTCCTTCATAAACATGACGTTGTGCTCAGTTTTTGCCGTCGCAGCTCTGCGGAGGCAAAGCAAGCGAGGGGGCGTGGGAAGGTGGGTGGCCGCAGAGGGCAGGAGGGAGGGGGGGTACTCACGGTTGAAAGCGTTTCAGGGTGAGCGCGCCGGAGCGGCCAGCCAGGGCGAAAGTGACCTGGTAGTGGACATGGGACTGCATCACGACCACACCCAAGGACCGAAGCCAGGGCTGCAGGCGCTGAAAGTGTGAAAAACAATTTGAACCAGTACACCAGGTGGAGAGCCCACGGGACTGCAGGAGCGGGTCTCGCTCCTGCAGTAAAGCTTTGCTGGACAGGGCGGGCGCCAGCTGGATGCAGCACCAGGATGGTCGAGGCGAGAGCACAAGAAACCCGCGCGGGGCTGCGCCACAGCGCGTGGGCTGCAGCAACTTGCTGTCTGTAACCGCCACCATGATGCTCACGATTGCCGAGGAGGTGCCAGCAGAGGCTGGGAGCGCCAGCTCGGGCCGCGCGGCGGCAGCGGCCCAGGCGGCGCCATGGCGGCGCGGGAGGGAGGGGAGCAGGAAGGCGGCGGAGGGGCGAAGAGGGACGAGGAACGCCCTGCCTGGCCGGCGCACGCAGCACAGCCAGGCGGGGCGGGCAGCAGCCCGGCCACGGGGCCAGCCAGGCAGCACCAGGTGCCCAGCCGCAGGAGCAGGGCGCTGAAGGACCGGAGGGGCCGGCGGGGACCCACCCACCGGGCAGCCCTTGGAGAGACCGCGCGCAGGGCAGGGCCGCTGGGCCGCTGGGTGGGGGAGGCGCAAGTGCGGAGGGCGCGAGCACGTGGAGGGAACAGGCTGCCAGGGGGCGGCCTGCAACCAGGAACGCTGGATCGGTGCAAGAGCATGTAATACAGGAGTGGGGGCGTCCACCTTGAAGGCAGACGACTTGACCAGGGCACTGGACAGGCGCAAAGACACGCGAAGCAAAGGGGCGCCCACTTTGGAGGGCGGGAGTTCCTGGAGGGAGGCGGGGACGGCCTGCCAGGTGGACCTGCCCGATGCTGGCCGCGGATGGGGCCGCCGCCGGCGCAGCGCGAGTCGTGGTTAAGCCAATCGTCTGTCTTGGGGCTGCGTGGCCCGCGTAAATGGCTCCGAACGCCCCGTTCCTGTAAAGCTTGCCGGCGATGGGGGCCCATCGCGCCCGCATCATGCCCTGCCGTGAGCTGCATCCCACGCAGGCGGGAGTGGTGCCCAGCGGGCCAGGAGGCGTCGCTGGAGCGTTTGCCACCTTTGCTTTTCCTTCCGCCACCGCGTGCCTGCCACTCCTGCTGCCGGCGCCATACCTCGCCCCAGTCTGCCCGCATTGTGCGGCAGCGGCAGAAGGGCTGGATGTCGTGCTGACAGTCTGCCAGGTCCGACAGGAAACGCACGCAGAACCCCTGGTTGCCGTTGGGCCTTGCCCTTGCCCTCGTCGCCCTGGTCGTCGCGGGCGCGGTTCCAGCCCTCCACGAACATCGCCCCGCAGGTGCCCTTGGGCCCACTGATGACTTCGGGCCAGGTCTCGAAACGTTCCCCCCCGCGGTTGTCCACTCGATATCGCGCTAGGGCACGCGGCAGAGGCTGTCATGCGCATTCTGCCAGCCGCACCGGCGGTTCGTCGACTCGCACCCCCACGGGCGGGGTTGGGCGCAGCGGGCGCGCTGCCCTGGGTCGATGAGTTGCCGCGGGCGCCGGCGTCGGGCCCGACGCCCCTGCTCCTGGACCAGGTCGACAAATCGGCAGCCTTGTGGGTGCGCGGGGTTTTCCTGACGGGGGCTGCGAGGGCGGTGCGGTCAGTGGCAGGCCTCGCATCACTCCTGGCGGCGCCGCCGACGGCTCCGCCTGTTGCGGCGCTGGCTGGGCGGCCGCCGCGGATGACCTAGGCCAGGTGCCTCGTGTCGTGACCCAGTCGCGCCTAATTCTGGCGCGCAGGAAAAGCTTCGCGTGGACCTCGTCGACTGGCCCACCACCGCGCTAGGATCGAGAGACGCCGCGCGGGGGTCGGTCCCCGTCCTCGTCCTTCTGCGCGTGCCAGCCCGCGGCGGGGGCGCCGGCGTCGCCCCCGGCTAGCCCCTCGCGCGCTGGCGGTCCGCGGGACCTCCCAGGAGCCCACGAAAGTGGAGTTAGTTGCGCACCTCGCAACCCCCCAGGGAGCCCCGAGGTTCCAATTGAATCCCGTGCCCCCCCCCCCACTCCGCGGGACCTCCAGGAGCACACGAAAGTGGCGACAGTTGCGCATTTCGCAGCCCCCAGGGAGCTGCGGGGTCCAGACTGGATCTCTGTGCCCCCCCACTGCGCGGGACCCAGGAGCCCACGAAAATGGCGACAGTTGCGCACCAGGGAGCCGCGAGGTCCCAATTAGATCTCTGTGTCCCCCCATTCCGCGGGACCTCCCAGGATCCCACGAAAGTGGCGACAGTTGCGCATTTCGCAGCCCCCAGGTAATTTGCGGCGAGATCACTCGATCCCCGTGTCCCCCCACTCCGCGGGACCTCTCAGGAGCCCGCGAAAGTGGCGACAGTTGCGCACTTCGCAGCCCCCCAGGAAGCCGCGAGGTCCCAACTAGATCCCCGTGTCCCCCACTCCGCGGGACCTCCCAGGAGCCTACGAAAGTGGCGACAGTTGTTCGTAGCCATCCAGGGACGCAAGCAGGACGAAGGAGATAAGGGAGGAAAAAGAGAAGGAAGAAGAGACAGGAGGCAGGAAGCAGGAGGCAGGAGGCAGGAGGCAGGAGGAGGAGGAGGGACGGACCAGACAGTGCTCTGTTCAAAGCGAGAACCCAACACAGGAGTTTTGGGGACAAAACGAACAGATCAGCAATACCGACACCAGGCCGTACAAGAGCAACGACAGCAACGACATTAACAGCAACACGCATAAGACCAACAACAACAGCAACATGTTTGAATGTAACAACATTCCTCGCAGCCGTGCTTGGTTAATGAATCCCCTGGCGTGCTGCGGTCTGACCACAACAGAGGCACAATGGCTCACATCTCCTGACCCGCAACACGCGGAAACAAACAGCTCCAACAACATTAATAACATAACATAGCAACAACCAACCCAACTACACTAGCGACAGCAAACCACAAACAACAAACAACGATACCACCAGCGAGGCCGCCATAAGATGATGCCGCCTCCAATGGGCAGTCCGTGACATACGAACGTCGCCTCCGAGACGACCTCGAGATTGCCCGAAGATGACCCCATGGACCCTAGTTGACCACACGATTGCCCCAAGATGGTTCCAATGTGACTCCGATGCGTTTCACCCTTCTGCCCCGCTCTTGGCTTGGGCCAATAGGACGGATGGGGGTGCTGGCCCTCCGTCCCCTCCTCGTCGTCCTCTTCCTTCCCCTTGCCGTCGTCGCCCTCGTCGTCGTCGTGGTCGCTGTCCGCATGGCCCCCACGGCACCACACATACATAATTAGCAGAAAACCGAATCCCCAACAGAAGCCAAATCCGTAGTTTCTCTGACAGGGCCGTGAGGCCCGCTCTGGGGGAACAACATGTCCTCCAAAGAGTGGCGTCAGTCGGCTTGCGACTTGTGACCCCCGAAGACAGGGGCCGTCTCGTATGTTGGCCTCGTTTTTGTGGCTGGTGGGTTTCCAAGGCCCGCGCGAAGGCTGGAAGTTTGATGTCGCCCAGGGTCGGCTGGCCCGCCATGTCGTGCTCGGCCTGGCAGCGCCCAGCGCAGTGCCAGCGGCAGCACAAGCCGCACTTGTAGTCGCCAGGAGTTGCCGGATCTCATGGTTGATTCAGGCGCCCCCCTGTCTGCGTCGAAGTCCCCTCAGTCGCATTCGTCGCACCAAATCCTGGCGTTGGCCTTGGCTGGGTCGAACCTGGTGTCTTCATCGCGCAGCGTGGGCGGTTCCCGCACGATGCAGGGCAGCGGTCCTCGTGGGGGGGCCGCGATGAGGTCTCGCCCTGAGTTAGCCACGCCACCTCCCACGTTCAGTAGTTCGGTTGCTGGCCTGCTCTGCCAGGCCGACCCCTGATACTGGCAGGTCGACGGGGAGTGCACAGACAGCGCAGATTTCACTGTTCAAGGTAGACAGATGTGCAGAGATGTGTAAGTGCTCGAGCACAAACCGGGTGGCCTTGAGCGGGAAATCGATTGTGTCCAGGTCTTTCCAGGTGGTTGGGCAGTCCTGCCGCTGCGCCTGGGGTGGTGGTGCGCAGACGCCACCGGCTTGCCAGCCGCCTTGAGCAGCGCCTCCAGGTATGCTCGTGGAGGGCACGGAGCCCTTGACGCCATGGCCTGCTCCAAACTGGTTCCAGACTGCCAGGCGGGCCTTGTTGTACGGATCGCAGAAAGCCAGGACCGCTTCTCAGACATCCCCTGGAGGGCCTGGCCTTCCGCATGGGAACCACAGCGCCCTGGGCACACGTATCAGAAGCAGCATAAGCACCAGGGCGTGGGCAATCCAAATTGAGCTGAGCGGTTTCCCGTCTGGGCCCAGGAGGTTCGCGCGGAACTGCTGTGCATGGGGCGTTGTGCGCCTCAGGATGGCTCGCAGTGCTGCAGTGTTGGGCAGTCCTTGTGCTTTTGGGACTTGCACGTGGAACGGCTCCAGGCTGCGGGTGGGCGTCGGGGCGTGTTGAGCGGGATGCAGGCGTCTTGGCGCCGCTACCTTCTGGGAATGCCATGCCAGACCGCGGATAAACCTCGACCCAGGGAAACCAGCAAAACCCGGGAAACCGTAGCACGAACCCAGAACCGCACAAGGCCCGAACCCGAGAAACGCTGCACGCACGAACCCAGGAAACCCGAGCCACGACCCAGGGAAACCCGACACACGCCAAGGG